CCAGTATTCCTCTGTGGTATTCCTCTGTTGTATGTCTCCAGTATTCCTCTGTGGTATTCCTCTGTTGTATGTCTCCAGTATTCCTCTGTGGTATTCCTCTGTTGTATGTCTCCAGTATTCCCCTGTTGTATTCCTCCTATTCCTCTGTGGTCCCCCCCCAGGCCTGTCCCGGGTAGAAGACAAGGACAAGACGTGGTCCCAGATCCGCCACCAGGAGAGACAGCTGCTCCTTCAGCGGAAACTGCAACAGAACAAACTGATCCGCGAGCACAAGGACCGGCTGAAACAACAAATGCAGCAGCAACAGCAACAACAGCAGCCACAGCAGCGGTCAGGCACACATCACGGAGACTCCCCGCCGGTGGCCACAAGTGGTGGGACGAGCACGGCGCTGCTGTGTATGGTCCCGGGGAAGACAGCGCGCTGTATCTCTGTACAGCCCCGGCTCACCACCTCGCTGTTGTCCGACTCCCTCGACTCCACCTGGCTGTGCGACTCGTCTGACGGCGGCGTGGGTGGGGCGGGGGCGAGTGCCGGGGCAGTCTGCTGTAACGACAGAGGGGAGGGAGTGATGGTGAAGCCTAAGAGGTGCATCAGTAGCAGCGCTGTTCTCAGCCACAGGGAGTCGCGGAAAAACACCACACCCTCGCTCGGGAGAGACGAGGCAGCTGGTGGAGACAACAACAACATGGCCGGCGGTCCCGTCGGAGGAATAACGATGACGTGGCCTGTGGAAGTGTCTATCGGGACTGCGTCGACGACCAATGCGACCCTGATCTCGCCCACGTCTTCCGTCTATTCTCTCGACTCCACATCCAATCTGTCGGGAATCTCCTCCCTGAGCACCATGTCCCACGCGGTTTGTGGGCTGCCGGCGGTGGGCGCGGGCTCGCTCCTCCTGCACCACAAACGTATCGCGACCAGCATCAGCCCCGACCAGGTTTCCACCACCAAGAGACGATGCATCACCTCGCTTGGCGTCTTCAAACACCCGGAGGATGTGGACTGGACCAATGACTGCCCCGCTAGCCGCTGGCCCACCACGCCCGCCCGCCCCTTCTCCTGCCCCACCGTGTACAACGGGATGCCGCGTGACGAGAGGAAGAAGGAGGGGAAGACCGCGGCGTCCAGCGATGAGCTCAGCATGGCTGGGGACAACACGGGGGAGGTGGTGGGTGAGGGCAAGGTGGGCGTGGCACGAGAGTCGAGTGAGGCGGGGGGGCACGGGGTGGTCAGACCACAACACAAGACGCTGAACCATCCCCACAAGTCCTCCAAAGGTCAGCGGAAACATGGCAAGTCTCACACGGACGACGGGCTGGATGGGCGGGCCAAGACAGAGCTGTCCGGTGCGAGCAGTGACCACAAGTTCCACTGTGTCCAGAAGCCAGTGGTCATCAACTGTTCCAAGAGCAGCATGCACGTGGTGGCTTCCTGCCCCGACCTACAGGCCTCCAAGACGTTGTCCGACACCTGGACGACACCCGCCGACACCTGGACGACACTGGCCGATGCCTGGACGACACGGGCCAACACATGGACGACGCCCGCCAGCTCGGGCCAGTCGTACAACATCCTCAACTCCCTTCTCTCCTCCTCCAGTGACTGGTCCCCGGCCCCCGCCCGCCTGGCCGACCAATCACGGCCCCTCTCCTCCTCCTCCTCGGACCTGCTAGACGTGAGACTGCGTCTGACCTCCAGTCTGTCACAGGGCACAGACAGCCCCAGCCTCCTCTCCTCTCTCTCCAGCCGCAGCGCCTTCGTCCCCGTCACCAGCCAGAAACAGCAGGGGGCCTCGCCGCTAGTGGCCGACCTTGACACACCAGAGACCGCCATGTCCGGGAACACGACCGCCGGCCTGGCTCTCAAGTCTGGCTGCGGTACCTCGGAGCCTGTGCTGAGTCGTTCGTCGACCTCCGACCTCCCTGTGTCTGTCCTCTCTAGCAGTGCAGGCTCGCTGTTCAGTAGTAAGGAATCGGGCCAGTCTCAGAGCGAGGAGAGTATGGACACGTCCTTCGCTACTTCCGACAGCGACAGAAGCATGGAAGTTGTTGCCAAAGTGGCCTCGTCAGACGTAGCGCCCCCCAGTGTCAGCGACACAGTGGTGGTCGCCGTGCCTGTCAGTGCGGGGAAGAAGAGCAGCGGGGGTGAGCTGAGGTCATCCGTGACGACCCCCACACCGCCGCTCAAGGTCGGTGATGTGGTGACGTCGCAACACAACACAGGGAGGAAACACACACACGACGACTCGGGCAGCTCACTCTCCACTTCCTGCTGTGCGACCGCCACCTGCCAAGGGGCGCGACCCAAATCTTCGGGCAGCACCAACAGTCAGGTACACCACGGCACTAACTCATCGTCTCCCCTGAGTGCCGCCAAGCGATGTGTCAAGAGTCGGTTCACGCCGATCCGGCCCAAGCTCCACCCGGCGGCCACCACCCCGTCCCCTCAGAAGAAAGACATGCGGCCCGTGGCCACTATCCTCAAGGAGAAACGCTGGCACTCGGCCAAAGATCTCTTCGTCAATCTGGTGACCAACTACCAAGGGGAGCTAAACGTGCAGATGTCCTCGGAGATCCTAGGTGTGTCCCCGCCCCGGGGCATCCTGTCGTCCGACGTTCTGCTGGCTGTTGGCCAGGACGCTGGGTCTGTCAAACCTGGCGTGCCCGAGGCGGCAGCGGCGAGAATCATGACGCCGACTCTGATCCTGGAGCCTGTCTCCCAGCCCACGGGGTTTGCCCCACCCCTCACAACACCACTGCTCTCTCCCCGGTCCGCCCCCATCCTGCCCAAAGTCATCAAGCCACAATTGACCTTGGCCGGCCTCAAGCCACAAACGTCTCCCTGTGAGCCCAGCGGCGCCAACGTCAAACCTGTCGACACTTCCTCCAGTAAATCTGGCAACCTCATCATTCTGTCCCCCAGCTCCGTGGAGAAAGTTCCGTCTGTGAGCCAAGCTGTGCACACCACGCTCATCGTGGAAGACGGGCAGGGCAACAAGTACGCGCTAGACAGCGTGCCCCCCGCCCCCACCCTCCCCCCGGGCTTCCATCAGTTGTGTCGCAGCAACCTGTCGCCTAAGAACTTCAGTGTGGTCAAAGCCACGCCCAGCAACAAGGGGCAGTCCGTGGTCAACATCTCAGAGATCAAAGCCCACGTGTTTGGGCCGGATGCCCAAGGTCAGTCGTACATCAGCATCCCCCACACTGAGACCTGGCTCTCATCGGCCGCCGCAGTGTCCCCAAGTGTGGTCCCACACCTCTCTTCGGCCACCGCCGTGTCCCCGAGTGTGGTCCCACACCTCTCATCGGCCGCCGCAGTGTCCCCAAGCGCGGTCCCACACCTCTCATTGGCTGCCGCTGTGTCCCCGAGTGTGGTCCCACACCTCTCATTGGCTGCCGCTGTATCTCCGAGCGTGGTCCCACACCTCTCCTCAGCAGTCTCCATATCCCCAAGTGTGTCCACTAGCAACGCTCAGAGCATGCCACAGTGCGAGACCACCGCGTGCACACCAGTCCTCTCCACACCCCGCACCACGCCCGTCTCTCTCCCAGCCACCCCACAGACAGCAGCGCCGCAGCAACAACAACAACAACAACAACAGCAGCAACAACAGCAACAGCAACAACAGCCAGCCAACTTGTTCCTGTCGCGTTCCTCCTCCTCGGCTCTCCTGTCAGAGCTGAGCCAGCTAGCCAGTGCCAAGGAGAACCAGACGTGTCAGCCGGGGCTGGTCAACAGTGGTCAGATCAGGCCAGGAACCCCCCAGGACAGCAGGCTCGCCCCGCCCACACCCACCAGCACAGATGCTCGTCCAGCCAGAGACAAAGAGGCGCCACCCACCTGCCAGTCGTTTGAGAGCAGCCTCCAGCGACACGCCACACTCTCCGCGTTCCACCCATGTGTGGTCAACAAGACCTCCGAGGGAAACGTCGCCGGTGAGACAAGGACACTGACGGGTGAGACAAGGACACTGACGGGTGAGACAAGAACACTGACGGGTGAGACAAGGACACTGACGGGTGAGACAAGGACACTGACCTGTGAAGCAAGGACACTGACCGGTGAAGCAAGGATGCTGACCGGTGAAGCAAGGACACTGACCGGTGAGGCAAAGACATTGACCGGCGCGGGGGCGGGGAACTTGGTGGTACTTCCCTCACAGGTGGGTCGCCAGACAGACGGGCAGGGTGAGGGGGCGGGCAGACAGGGAGAGTCGCAGACCGGTGGTCACGCCGCTTGCTCCACGGGGAAGGAAGACGCAGGAAGTGACAAGACACAGCAAGTGCTTCGTAAACGAAAGGCCAGTCGCAGCAGGGAAGACGGTCAGGCTGGCAAGAAGCGACAGAACACATCGGGGCAGGAAATGCCTGGCGTGTCGGAGACCTCTCTCGGCAGCTGTGTGACCGAGTCCCCTGTCACTGGATCGCAAAGTTGTCCAGATTTGGCAGTGAATGGTGCGTCTTATTGTTTCAGAGCGGCCGCTGGGAAAGAACCGTGTGATGACGACGTATTTATCATCAACGGAGAAAACAAGACAGGTTCCCATTTGAATTCTGGGAGAGCAGGATCGAATGTGGCGGCGGCGCTCACGTCAAAGACAGTAACGGAGCTGGACAAGGTCGGCCCAGACACAGAGACGTTGCTGGGACTTATAGAAACCTCAAAGTCCATGACGGTCAAGCAGACGCTGCAAGCCCTCAACTCCCTCAAGGCCAAAATGTGCCAGGGTCAGACCGCGGGCTCTGTGCAACCACCGAGGGACCAGCGTGTCGTGGCAGGGCCAGGACAAGACTCTGGGACTGACGCTGTTACCGGCGCTAGGAAACTGAGCAGCAGCCGAGCTCAGAACGAGGCCAACACGCTGTCTTCTACTCACGGAAAGCTGAACACTCTGTCTCAAGGAGGAAGCTCCAAACATGCTGCGGTCAGAACCACGGAGGATTGGAGCACCAGCAGCAGCGGGCAGGGGAGGGAAGCCACAAAGTTCTCGGGGCCCGTCTCCTCCACCCCTACCTCCCCGCCTCGCGGCAGTCGCAGAAACGTGAGCCTCAACCTTGAGAGCCTGGAGAGTGACGCGCTCCTGGACACAGAGCCCGCGCTGGACCACCGCCTCTTCTCCGACATGTCTGACCACAAAACCTCCGTGGCCGTCGCCGCGCGCTCCACAAAATCCTCCTCTCGCCACCGAGCGAAAGACAGGCTGAGGACCAACGAGCAAAACAAGCCTCCGTATGAGATAAGCGACAGCGCGCTGCGGTCCTACCAGAAAATCCTGAGTGCCAAGGAGCAGCTGGACAAGTTGTGCGCCAGCGAGGCCAGGGAGCAACTGTCCAGGTCGAAGCAGACGGGCGTGTCCGGCCAGCGAGAGAACAAAATGGTGGACAGTCGGCCCAAACAGCCGGACAGGACAAGCAGGGTGAAGGGCGTGGAGCCGAGGCGGAGCCGATCCTGTGTCAACGAGATTCTGAGAAATGAGGACAGAGCGAATTCTTCCACCTGTCATGTCGCTCCAGCGGCCGACGGTCGAGTCGTGCGGTCGTCATCGGTCGCCAGAGTGGAGGGATCTACTCCCAGCCAGGAAATCTGGCAATGTCTGTTGCAGGAAAAACAAGCAATGGGTGAACTGTGCATGGGAGTTTTTTCTTCACATCCACCGTCGAAATCTTTGCCAGGTGCTCTCGGGTTGTCAGTCGACACAAACGTCTGTACCGTCAATTTGCCAGTTCCTTGTACTGGGGGTGATGATGTGACACACAAAGGTCAAAGTTCGGGGACATCAGAAGACAACGAACTCCCGTCAGACATCATTGACTTCATCACAGAATCGATGTCTTCGAGAGCGGCTAGTTCCAAGGCCGACGTTTTGAACTCTCTGTTGATGAATCCTTTCAACACCAAGGGGATTCCCCCAGTCAGCAGCGGGGAGCCCGAGAGTCCGTGTGAGGGGGTGGGCGGGTGTCAGGCGGTGGCTGCGGACGTGGCGGGGATGAACACGTGGAGAGTCTTGAGAAGCCTGTCCGTTCCCAACACCGTGCCAGATTTCCCCGGCTGTCCGGGTGTGAAGCCAGGAGTGGAGGGTAGCAAGGCCGGGGCTGTTTGCCAGGACAGCGCTGTGCTGAGAAGTCGCTCGGTGCTCAGCTGTGGGGCGGAGTCACGCCACACTCTCCCCCCACAACTGTCGCAGCTCAATGTGGTCACCCAGCCGGGAGCCATGTTGCCAGGTGTCGGAGATGCGGAGAAATCGCTTCAACTGTCGGCCGGTGATTCAGGTGGGATGAAATCTGCCAAGTGTTTGACCAGCAATGATTCCGCTGTGAAGGCTACCACCAACCTGTCCAGCAGCACTGACCCCAGCCTGACCTCCACCAATCTGTCCAGCGGCACGTTCCTCAGCCCCGTGGGGCCCGCCAGACTCACCAGACGCTCCTCTGTAGAACGGGCCAGCGGCGAGCGGCCGGTGAGAAAATCGCCTGTGGACATTGTAGCGGGAAAACTTCCCGACTCTGCGGCTTGGGGGAGAACTCCCGTGGAGCGACAGAGCGGGAAGAAGTCGAGCAGTGTCGTGGTGGACAGACCCACGGACGGTTCTGTGTCTAGGTCTCGAACCCAAACCCCAGTGGACAGGTCTCTGACGAAGACGCCAGTGGAGGGCATGCGCTCAAGGACACCTGTCGACCGGTCGCTGACAAAGACGCCGGTGGATCGGCTGATGAAGAGCGTGGTCCCTGTGAGTAAGTCTCCATGTAAGAGCCTGGAGCGCGCTGTGAGCAGAACCCCAGTAGACCACTTGCTCTGTGCCGGCTCCCTGGACAAGCTGAAGGTCAAGGCCCCCGTGGACACGTCAGTGATGAGCACAACCATCGACCTTGACACCTTCAACGTGTCCTACAACGGGGACAGTCTCCACAAAGGCGTTTGTTTCACGGCACTGTCCTCGTCGCCAGACATGAGCTGTGCCCCAAGATCTATCGCCGCCGCAAAAAGCAAAGATGTCTCGAACAACGCTTCTGTGACAAGAACGTCCAACAGGGCAACATCGAGCGATTGTATGGGTGGCAACCCTTTCCCTGACCGCTCCATCAGTCGCACGCCTGTCGACGGTCTGCTGCGTCAGTGGTCGGCCACAAGACCAAACTCGGAGAACACCCGGGTCAGTCGGTCGTTGAACCAAACACCCGCGACTGACGCGGGATACAGCAGTGTCAGTGCCACGCCCGTGTCAGACGTGAGCAGCAGCAGTGTCAGCCCCAGCCCCGTCATGATGTCCGTGTTGGGTGAGTGCGGGCGGCGAGAGCTCACCTCACCGGCCACCATCTTCATGCCGCTGCGCCCTGACTCGGCTCTGAGCGTAGCCCCCTCCGGCAAGTCGTCACGGCAACAAGACCAGACGTCCCAGCTGTGCTCGGAGGAGGACAAAGCGTGGACCAGCGAGTGTTGGGCTCCGTGGGGCGTGGCACCAGCCCCAGACCACGACCCACACAGCCAGTCTGGCCAGCTCAACAACGCCGGTGTCCGTAAACAGATCTCGGAATGTGGCGACTCGCGTCTGTTCACCGAGGTCAGTGTCGGGGATTCGTGGTCTACCCCCGACCTTGAGAGCCTTCTGTCCCTGTCCCTGCAGTGTATCCCCACGCCTCCCTCCTCCCCCTCCTCCTCACCAGACAACGCCCACACCCACCCCTCCCCCGTCCCCTTCACCGGCCACCCACCATCCATCAGACCCCACAAGTCAGAAGGGAGCACCTTCCTCCCCCCCCAGTCTCCCAAACCCTCCAGTTCCCCGATGTCCCTGAGCAAGAGACGTCTGGTCTCCCTCAG